CGTTACTCCCCATCGTTAACTGCGGGGTTCTTAACAAGGGACAATTCGGTCGAATATGATCCAGAGAATTGCAATTAAAACACCTTCTGTTAGCTGGGCAGTTTCTAGACAGATGACCTGCTTCGCCGCACTTATAACATTTCCTTGGGTCCATCTTGCCTTCATCCTGATGAACCTGTCGGCATTGTGAACAGACTTTCTCACTGCTCTTCTGCTCAGATCTGTTATAAAATCTTACAGTTTTTGGCCCTCGAAAAGATGAAGGCCCTTCCCATTTTCTCTTTTCTACAACCTTTCCTTCTGGCTGTCGGTTTTTATTTCGTTCAGTCACTTCAGCCGCATCTACCGTTAACGAAAAGGTAATGGGGTTCATAGCAATAACAAACTCTCTGATTGAGGGATTCAAATCCCAAATATACCTTGCTATCTTTCTGGGTTCAGTTGAAACATAGTGCTCGGCAAATCGAGAGTATTCAATGAATTTCTCGGTATACTCTCGAACTGTTCCATTTCCTTGTTCTAGTTTCAGGAAATCTTCCTCCATTTGTCTTACTGTTGTTTTAGAGCAAAATTGATTCTTGAATCGTTCCACAAATTCTACCCATGACAAAGTCTGTAAAACATCTGTTCTGGCTGACGATTCAACTTTCCACCAGAACAAAGCATTTGACTTTAATACAGAAACAACAAATCGCACTATATCTGTTTCCGGGCACCGAATGGTGTTGAACACAGATTCCATCTCCTTGATCCAGCACATAGCTTTCACTGGATCTCTTTCCACAGAAAAGGTTGGTGTTTTGCATGCCAAAAACATCTTAATGTCTCCTTCCTTGTTGTGGGTGACTGGAACAGAGGGATGAACTTTCACTCTTTCCGTTTCCACCCTGGCTGGTATTCCCATAATAGAAGTCAGAGTTTCCCTCAATTTCCCCATCTCTTCTGTCAACATGTCCCTAGTTACATATTCAGGGTGTGGCACCGATCTCTCCTGAACATTCCCAGAATGGGATTCTTCAGGTTCAGAATGAACTTCAGTACGACCCTTCCCTTGAGACTGATTTCTTCCTCTACCTCGTCCCCTTGGTCTTCCCTGACCTCTATTTCTGGACGTGCTAGTTGGAAGATTAACAAGTGACTCTTCTCTTTCTTCAGACTCTAGACGAGCCGTTCTTTCAGATCTTCTAGTTCGGCTAGACATCTGTAGAGTTTATTATTAATAATCACGTATTCACATTCCCAAATATAATGAAGTATTCAAGTTCAGATGTGTACCTGTAAATTCATAATTACACTGGCCAGATGTAATTAAAATTTACCTTACACACTGTTCTTTCAACCCATCATATTTATTTCCAATTGTGCTAACTACGTCCGGGACCCTTAATATGCAATAAAACAGTTTAAGTCTAGATATCATGTTGTTAAATACCTAAATCCCTTAAACTCAGGCTCTGATACCACTTTCTGTAACACCCCATAACATACATTGCATGTAACACATATTTCATACAAAAGAAATACATGTTTATATACTGATCAGGTCCCGTAGTACATAATCTATCATAACCAAATACAAGGTCCAAAAATTCAAATACATATCTTGTACTAATCAATCAAAACTGTACATCAAAAACAAATCTTCATGCAGAAATGCATATAGGAAAATATTACATTTTCCCCTTTCCCTTACCGTCCGTACCTCCTGCAACACATAGTTAAAATCACAAAACGAGGGTTAGACTGAAAGGTCTAGTGAGTTACCCTTTTATGTTATTGCATGGTGTTAATCACCAAAACCTTTATGGAAAACAACCTTTCATATATATAACAAATATGGACATAATACCAGATCATTTTTACTTTCAAACTAAGCACTCAGCTATTCAATTCTCATACATTTGAACCAATCAGGTTTCATATAATGCCACTTTTAAACTTTTTTCTAATCAAACAAGGTTTTCATAAAGTTTCTGGCCAAACCTGATATTTTCTTCTCAATAACATCCAGACTATGATTTCCAATAAGAACCTTGATTCTAAATCTTTAAGTCACAGAGAAATAAAGATTCCAGACCACGGTAGTCTTAAAGGATATAATATAAAGAGTTATATCATACAACACACATACATATGCCACCCTTATATCAAATGTACACCTCTCCTTAATATGTCACCCTTATCCCATGGTACACCTCTCCTTGATATGCCACCCTTATTTCCTCATCAAAACATTTCAAAAAAAATAATAATTCCAAATAAACCGCAGCCATTGGAATTATTATTAATCCAAAATCATTTATATCAAATTTCCATTTTATGATAAAATAACAATTTTTATCCTTCAAGCACAAGGCATAAAACAAATCCGGTCAGCATAGACTTGGCCGGACTTCATCTCCGGTCAAGTCTTGGCCGGTTTACCAAATCCGGACAACTTATCGTCCAAGGTTTATCCGATTTAACACTTAGAATAAATTTCAACACCTTTGTCCGGATAATAAGTCCAGACAATACATCGCCCAAAGCTTGACCGATTTAAAATAATCCGGTCACCACATGGTCGTATTCCTACTTCTCAGTTTAAAATGTTAACCATTTTTACCAATCATAACTCGCTTGACACTTAATCGGTTTAAGACTAAACCGTTCAACACTTGAGCTGTTTATGGCTTAATCGCCCAACCCTTGATCGGCATAAGAATAACCCGGACAAGCTTTGTCCGATTTAGACTTAATCCGGTCATCGTTTGTCCGGATAAAACCCTTAAACAAATACCTGATTTCTTTCCAATAATAATCAACATTCAAATAAAACCAGTATCAAATTTTATGTAAAAAGGTTTAGCAATCACTCACCTTGAAAAACCTTTTGAAATCAGATACTTGAAATCAACTTGATCTTTAGACAAGAAATAATCCGGTCAACTCTTTTTCTTCTAAATTGCTCAACTTTTCTCCAAAAATAGCAAGAAGTTTTAATGGAGACTTAACCTCCTTTTCATATATCCCTCCCAAACAGGAAGGTCGGCTAGTCCATGTGCATGCATACCCATAAACCATGCACACATACATATATACCTCTGCATATATACACATATATCATGCATTTATATATATATATATGTATATATATATGTATATATATATGTATATATATATATATATCCAATTAATGCACAAATTCACATACTAGCATGATCAAACGTATCAATTTATCATGCTGTCATGAAATCATTTAATCAGATAATCACACATTAATTACATTGGGTGATAACCAGGATTCGGTTATCACATAAGTGTTTCAAACACAATAAGAATCTACCAGAGAAATATTAGAGAGTGCTAAATATTGTAAGCTTTTGAGTTTGAAGATTTGTAATCATCTACTTCTGTAATCAACCGACTGTATAAATACAAGGTTAGTTTTTATTATTATGGCAGACTAAAACTTTTATTAGAAAGCCAAATCATGTTGTGAAATTTATATTCTTATTATCTTTTATAATCTTTATTTATAAAGATAAGATCTCATGAATTATATCATAAAGAAATTTGGTTGCTGTTAGTTCATACCCATGACAGGGGTATAACTGTCAGGCATTGAGCCAAACCTCTAGGAAAAGTCCTGGTTGTAATTTTAAAAATTTGTCTTAAGATATGCTAAGAAAGTTAAAATCTTCTATGAAAAACAACAGACGTAAGGATATTTAACTTCAGAAAAAGTACCCGCTGTTAGCCAAGAGTGCGTTTTAGGGGAAAAAAGTATGAATTAGTCCAAAAATATGAGTTTTCTTCAAAAGAAATTTTATCTGGCTTTCTTGGTTTTTATTAAGAAATGTTTTTAAAGGGTGATAACAGAGTGACTAAAATGGGTGTTATGATATATAAAAATAAGATCTTATCTCTTTAAATCTTGATTATTAAGATAATATTTATATAAATAATTAACAACCTCTTATTATGGTTTTCTAATACCTCTCTCTTGTTTGTATTAAGAATTATTTTGCCATACCTACTAATCTTTTGTTATAAATGTCATTGTCAACATTCTTATTTAAGTCTCATGAAAGTTTGTTATTATGTTTAATTCGTGCCTTAAATTCAGTTCGTGCCCTCATCCTGATCCTTTACATACTATTATATGTGGATGTTATTGTTATGTTAATTCCGAAATATTTAAATATGAAAATCTTAAAAAGAACCTAACTTTTTGGTTAGCCTCTGATCTTTTGCCTACAGATTTAAAATATTATATTGTCGGAAAAGTTTTCAAAGACATCAACAAGTTTAATAGAAATTTTTGGTTTAATCCGAAAATTAATAATAAAACTAAAGATGATGCTTGGGTAATCTCTAAAGGTGATGATTGGAATTTTGCTTTCAATGAAGAAAATATCCAATCTTTTATTTGATTTCTATGTTGTTTGACCTCGCTGAGGCCCAGACCTATTGTCTAGAGAACTGCATTTCTTTACACACTAAAGTACTGCGTTGCAGCCAAACCCCCTTTTATTGGTATCAGAGCTTATATATATATATATATATATATATATATATATATATATAACTTGAGAACTTGTGCATCATGTATTATGATATTTTTTCATCTAAGACTAGAATTTAAAATATTGATTTAACATATATTTGTTTCACAATGTGTTTGCTTCACATGTACTCGGTTCACAATGTGAAACTTTTTGTAGTGTTTGTGAAACACAAAATACACATAAAAATGTTTCACATTGTGAACCGATTACATATAAAGTAAACACATTGTGGAACAAATATATCTTAATCAATACATTACATATATATACGTACATATATATATATATATATATATATATATATATAAGTTCTTTATGATAAAATAGATGTAGGAGAAAGTATGTTTTGTATATCGTGTGTTGTTAGTTTTTTGGGCCCTTGTGTTCACTGTTCAGCACGTAGAGTTTAGAAAGTGGATAACATTCTTATCATTTTAGACTTGCAATTTGTAGAAAGCAATACGATATATTTTCACTCAATAATACATCCACACATTTGCAATTAAAGCTACCAGTCATACATTCACACATTGCTACCTAGGAACCATAACAACATACATATTGTAGGTTTTTATGCTACATATTGACCTCTATTTTATTTCTGATGCTAATCCTTTCTGCTGCCTTATTTCATGATTCTTGAAGTACATCCTCAGATCTAATAATTTCCCTCAATTAACTACCTACGGCTGCTTAGAAAAGCTAGCATAACTGTTTATCAAAGCCAAAGCATTGCTGGTTAATTGTGCAACATTCACAATCTTTCCTCTCACCACATTTTTCATTTTTGTATTCCCAAACCCTTCAATGCATGTGTCTTCATCTGTCATTGCAGCACTTACCCATGTTTGTAAGTCGCTTATCACTAGCCGGGAACTTTTGGATCCCGGTCGACTCATCTCCTCAAGGGACTTCTCTAACTCATAGACCGAGTCACCCAGCAACTCAATGCAGTCTTTCATGGCAGCAACCTCTAGAGGAGCCATGCCATGAATTTGCGACAATTTTACAATTGCCGCGGAGGTGGAGCGAGTGGTGTCAAGGGTGACGGATAGAGCTGTTTGGGCTAGTAACTTAGGGCTTGTTTGGATCGCACCTGCTCGAGTTGAGAGTGAGTTGACACAGAGTGTAGGGTAAGTAGTGAAACTGCATGATGATTTGATGAATTCCACATTTGTTTTCGAGAGAGCAGAGACGAAAGTGATGGTGGAAGTTGTGTAGAGCAGTATTATTAGAATGGTTTTTTGTGCTATAGAATTTGAGGCTTCCATATCTTGTGAATTGGATGGAATTGGAAGTTTTATAACTTTGAAGGTAAAGAGAGGTTGTGGAAGTGAAGGAAATGCAGTCAAAATTTATAGGAAGCTGAACGTAGATAAGAATTAGAAGTATCCAAATGAAATTTGGTTAGTAGGTGTGAACGTAGTACAATATGTGTGTGTACGTACAATTAAAGCTCCCTGTTGTGTTTCCCACTCTCTGGTTCTTATGCTGCAATTATTTGATCGACTTTAGAATTGAATTTTATTTCGATAGTTATCTATCTATTGATGAACAGTAGCTACTTCTTTTTTTGAAAACATTTAACCATTAGATGGTCGTCGACTTCACTTCCTAGTCCTAATTGTTAGTTACAAATATCTCGTACCATTTCCAAATTTACACAAGGTTTGTGAAATTAAAATGTGAACCAAGTCACCTTACAAGTGACTAATCTGGATATAATAGAACATGGATCATTGTTCTATGTTTGACATGACTTTTATATTGATATAAATATGTTGTTTAGAAATTTTCAAGCACCATCCATGTCCATCAATCACGTGAATACACATCAACAGAGAGAGAACAAAAACCACCAATTAAATATTACATAAAATAATTAAGTAAGTGTCTTCATATGGATAATAGATTGATGTTATTGTGTTTTTAAACATCTATATTAATTGCAAAAATTAGAAGACAAATGCACCTACTGGTTTCAATCACTGCTTTAGCTCTCATTCATTATTTTACTTACAAAATTGTTCTGAATAAAAAATTTACATATAAATACTCCAATCTCTTAGGGCATGCTTTTTCCAAAGCTATTCATAAAAATCATGCAAATGATGCTACACAATTACTTCATTTATCTCACATGACGTTTCTTGCAATATTCTTGTCAAAAAAATTGGATAGATTTAACCACAAGGGGTGGTGCCTGATTGTTTTGACCTTTGAAGTATATTCTTGTCAAAAAAATTGGATAGATTTAACCACAAGGGTGGTGCCTGATTGTTTTGAGCTTGACTTCAAATGTCAAAAGTATACAAGTTCAAATCCAAGAAGGAATAAAAATCCACTTACAGCCACAGAGATTCAAATGCGGTGACTCCGGGCTATCTGCAAAGCAGGTGGTCGCCCTGGAATTAGTCGCCTCGCATAACGGGTTGGATATCCAGGTTGATAAAAAAAATAGATAGATTTATCTAATTGATCTAGCTTCTTTATTACGAAAATGGGGGTATATAGGATTTATGGTAATATGAAAACAATTAAATTAGAAGGTAATTTTGATAATTTTAACGCTTAAATACATTATTATAAACATCTTTTAGATCATGATAAATGTTCAGACTTAGAAATTTCAGAAAGTTTATTACTATCTAAACTAGATTCAAACATAAACTTTCTGAACTTTGGTTAAAAAGGTGATTTGCCGTACGAAGTGAATGCTTTGAATTATGCCTAGTTAAGAAGGTGATTTACCTTGTGAACTAACTATTCAGATGAAGAAACTTCAGAAAGTTTATTGCTTTCTGAACCAAACTAAGACATAAGCCTTTTGAAGTTAATTAATAAGGTGATTTGCCTTATTAACTGTCCAACCTTAGAAATTTTAGAAGTGTATTGCTTTCTGGATCAGACATAAATTACGATAAGTATGCACCAAATCTTTTCATTATGTTATGAATTCAATTACAAAAAAATGAGCTGAATAAAATAACTTAATTGAGCCCAACCCCATAAAAATCTTTTATTTTATTTTATGTCGGCCAATCTCATCTTATCCCTTTTGAAGGATATGGTTGTGAACACGAGTGTCGTTTCATTGACTCCTCCCTAGTCCCTAGTCCCTACTAAAATAAATCACCTCTTCCCTTTCCTTTTTCACCCTTCATTTCAAAACACATAATTTATTTATTTAATATATGTTCAAATATTTTCTTATCCTTTGAGAAAAAGGAGAATGTTAAAAAAACAACTGTGAAAGAAAATAAATAGATTAGTGATGTGTTGTTTCACATGTAAAAATACAATTTTTTTTTTGTTGTTGTTGAAAAAACAATCTTAGACGTTTACATATATTGAATTTTGTAATAGCGGGCCGTATTTTTTAAGAAGTTATTCTTTGATGCAATTGTTTCTAACTAGTGATGCCTCCCAAACGATCATGTCCTTAATTAGTATGACATAACTTATAACCCTGTCTTTAGGTTGCAACGAAATTGCCTTACTAAACGTCTAAGGCTAGATCTATTCACAAAAGGTAGGAAGAAATGCCCTTATTGGTACTTTGCCTTGACAATATAAAATAATTCCTCCCCCCATTTAAGGAGAGATGCTTGTAGCTTTGTCGCCAACGCCCAATGCATGCCCCCAGTCATCAAAGATTTCTAGATAGAGTACTTACTAAGGTCTTTAAATATATTGAACTAACAACTATGCATCTCATACGAATGCATTGCACTATGGTGGCGTTTGGTTTGTAGAATATTTTTGGATGAAATAAAATATGTCAAAGGAATTTCACTTTGAAAGAAATTGGAATGAAATGTTGTCAGGTTTGACCACAAGTTTGGTTGACATAATTGGAATGAAATCTATTAAAGGAATTGAAATCTGTCTGTTTGGTTCACAAAATGTAGCTTTGGAACTAGAATGAAATTCTAGTAAATGACTAAAATACCCCTTTTGATAAATTAATTTTTTTAAACTTAAAATATTATATTATAATAATTATTCATTCCTTTGTTTTTTTTTAAACTTGAAATACTTTAATAAAATAATAATTAAATATTCTAATGTGTAAAACAATATAAAAATACACAACTCAAATATAACCATAAACCAAATGWCGTTAMTAAATTGATATTAAAATYGYTTCAAAATCCATCAAACATGTTCAAAATAATTACATGCCACCATCATTTAATAATCGTACATATGACGCCAAAATACCAAAGCATGTTCAAATACATGTTCCAAAAGCCATTAAGCATCATAGTTTTCAAAAAAAAAAGCTAAACCATCAAGCACAATCATTCTTCCAAAATGTACCTCACAAACTCTTCTCGAGCTTCTCCTTCATAGTTCCAAAAGCTTAACACGAATTCAGGTTCACGTGTTATTTTTCTCAGTGCCTTAAACTTTTCAATTGAAGTAAAATTCATTTTGGCGAGTTCAGAACCAACCACGAAAGTCTTTTGATGTAAATCTATCTCAACTTGCATTAATTTGTCCGACGATTTTAAAAGTCTATCTCCAAATACGACAACAACATTATTTATTGCATCAACAAGAGGATCACCTCAACTCTTGCGCTTCCTACTACCTTGAGATGTACACTCTTCACTTGGCATTTGGTTATCTTTTGTCGGATACTCCGTGTTTTCATCAGATTGTTGTTCTTGAAAGGGCATCTGGCCATCTTCCATGTCAGCATTTTCTTCTAAACCATCATAGTCTGGAAATTTCCCGAAAAGCTAATCATAGGTTCCTCTCTCCATCGAAACAATAGGGCCGCTATGCTAATTACTAAACTTGTTGAAGAGATGAAAAATAACCAAGGTATATCTTTTTGATCAAAGGTTGAATCGATCATCAGAAGAAGAATTATGCGAAAAATTAGGATACATTCTGGGAAAATCAAACTTCCATCAAAGAGAAGCAAATGAAAGGCTTTCATAAAAATTCTCGTAGAATCGAAAATGAAGTTTTCATTATGTACATGCCAGATCATGAATTAGCAACTGCATCCAATTTCTAAAAAAAATCCCAAATGTTTCCATTTTTGGAATGGAATATTTATGGAATCTCCATGAATAGGATCAAACCTTATTCCATGGTATTTACATGAGGTTTTTCTTTCTTATTCTTAAGAAAGTCCCCAAGAGCACGATCTTTTCCAAAAACATAAGACAAGTCTTCATAATGAGGAAATGGTTTGTTTCTCCATTTTGAAGCCTCTTTGTGTACCTAAATTTGCAAAAGACATAGAAACGTTGAATCTTTGGTATATACAAAATTTTGTGTTTTGATCATTAGTTTTCAAGTTTTGTTCAAATTTGTGTTTTTGAATTTTTTTTGTGTTCTTGACAATTTTCATCAAAAAGTCAATTTTGATCCATTTTTTTGTGAAAAGTTGTTGTTTTTGTGGTGTTTGTCATATTTTGATCGGATTCTGAATTTTTGGGTTGACTAAAGTTTGTTAAATTGCTTGGCTTGTTTGAACATTTAAATCGCTTGTTTGAAGTTTTGAGATCTAAATCGCCCGGTGTGATCGGATTACCACAAATCGCTCAACACTCTGTCACCGGATACAACCTTGTTTGTTTGACTCTATGACCGGATTCAACTAAGTTGCTCAAGAAGATTGATCGGATTCATATTCATCGCTTGAAGTAGCACCCGGATTAGGACTTAACAGTTTTTACAACTAGTTAACCGAATTATCTTAAGTCACTCGATAAGGTGAGCGGGTTTGGCATAAATCGCTTGGCACGGTGAGCTGTGTGAACTAAATCACTTGTCATAGTAACCGGACTTGGTCCAAATCGCTTGATAGGGTAGCCAGTTTAAGGACTTGGGTCATTCTTTAACAGAATACTCGAAATCCATAAGTCGCTCAAAGGTTTGGCTTGACCGGATTAACATTTCATCGCTTTCTTCATTTGTCCGAGCTACTCTTAAATCGCACATAGGCATGTCCGGATCTACTACAAATCGCCTGAGGTATCACCCAATTTAGGACTTAGCAGCTTTTGTAACAAGTTAATCGTGGATTTAATCGCACATCATTGTTACCGGAGTCTGATTATCTCGCGTGACTCAGTAACCGGAGGTTGGGTAAGTCGCTTACATTGTTGGTTGGTGTGTGACCGGATATTATAATCGCACAAGGAGTCTGACCAGATATTTAAGTCGCTCAAAGACTTACCCATTTTGTGTTATTAATAAGGTGTCCGTATATCTTCCTTGGTAAGCCGTATCCGGTATAACCATTACTCGGCCAACAACCATCTTTTCCCGTGTCCGGATTTGCATTCCTCAACCATAAGTTTCAAGTGATTTATTTGTTTCCCGGTAATCTCTTAGCCGACTTAGTCATCCTCAATTACCTTGGTGCATGTTTTGGGTCTTTTTCCGGATTGGGAGCTCGGATAAAGTCTTAGCAAATTTTTCTTGATTTCTTGTCCGCGACTTTTTAACTAT